GGTGGGGTGGGGGGGGGTGGGGGGGGGTTATTAAAGAGACTGAGCTGTTCAGAATTAGCGATACATTGTCTGATTGTATCTAACATAACTGTACTTGCAACTCAACGTGTAATCATAGCATAAGATATTCAAAAGTATATAAGGGTCACTCCATAATAGTTGGGATTCTAGATGATCATTCACACACGATTCGACAGAAGTACATTCATTTCCTGGATACTTTTTCTTTCCTCTCATTTGTGTTAGATTAGTTGATCATTTTGTCTTCAAATGTGAGTAGACCTTCTGTTTGAGTGCTCTCCTTCTATTTTTTGCCATTCCATGTCTCTTTGGATGGTATTACTGATGTACCAAATGCCTCTTCATTGGGATTATTTTCTTAGAAATTCAAGTTCCCTAGGAATCTCTATGAAGTGGATACATCATTTCTCCATTATATAGTTGCTCCCTTTTCTTTATTGCTAGGTGATAACTTTGATCACATCTCTTTAAACTCTTTTATATCGCATTTGGTTGATAGATAATCCTTCTCCTTTATACTTCTATACTAGGGAAGACTATTTTGGAAGGCCAAGGTTCCTTCTGGAATCAAAGCCTTCACTTGGATGATATATTGTAGTTGTACATGTGAAAGTCCTGATTTGCGTATGATAGTCTTCCAATGAGATAATAATCTTTTCTATTTTCAAAAACTAGGAGGGTTTGAGGATTACTAGTTTGGTGGTTTGTGTAGTATGGCAAGGTGCCCATTGCGAAAGGACACTCAAATAGGATAATGAACATGCAGAGTGCACTTTCTGTGATTTTTTCTTCCTAGTTTACTTAGCAAGAGCTATGAGAACTCGATCCATTTTGAAAGTAAAAAAGGTAAAGATTTGGTGAGCCACTTTCGTACTCTTCAATTTCCCTTCCGCAATACCATTTTCTAAAACAATACAATAAAGAAAAAAATAACTCATGTTACTGCGAGCATTAATAATTAAACCCACCAGCATCTGTTATCATGCCATCGATAAGGCAAAACCAACTCTACAGTCTAACTGGAAAATAAAATGTCACCAAAACAATTTTAAAACCACTTTCAAAATGCGGCACAAGTGAAAATTTGAGGGGAAAGAAGATAGAGCCTTTTTTCAACACCCAACTCAAAGAGCCTATCTTATCTGGAGGGTGGAAAAAAATGCACGATTGTCACTGCTGAAACCTGAACTTATCAGCATCCACACGTGAACCAGAAAACAAAATTACCATCATTAACATCAGAACACAACCCAGCAGACAATCAGGAAGAGAGGGAGAAATGTTCCAGACTTCCTGTCCTTCAGCTGCTGGCCTGCTGCCTCTCTACCTGAAAACTCCACTACTCGACCTCCATAAAACAGTCAGTACCGCCAGCAGGACAAATCATGTACAATCAATATACTGTTAAATAAAGAAAGCACCTTAAATAGACCTTAAGTGAGAGAAGTTTCAAAGGAATGAAAGAGGGCTGGTTACTTTAATAGCCTGTTGATAATGGTGATTGTCGATTTGAGTTTGATAATGTTTAAAGAGAAGAACTATAAAGGGTTCACGAGCTTGTATGGGTAGCAGCAGCGGAAGAATACTTTTATGCAAACGGTCAGAAGAAAAGAGTAACTTAAAGTCAATCTCTTGCAGCCATATTCTCCTGAAAAAAGCCTGCAAGCGTTTACTAGAACTTCAGAGGTTGCTACTGGTAAATTGTTTTGTGATTACGGCTGTACCTGCCTAACATGAATTGTTTGCTTTTTACTTCTTCCCCGGTGGTGTTTGTAGAGTCTGGGGAACTCAGAAGCTTTTGATGTGAAGCAGAGGATTTGAACTAAAAGTCACTTACCCCTTCACGGCTTGATCCCTAAAATTACCATTGCGGATAATTTGTTTTTGGTGAACAGAGGTCTATCTGGGTTCGTTTGTTTGCTTTGTAGATTTTTGGGATATCATGATATAGGCATAAATAGATGGCATGTCTTTGCTTGCAGTAATTTCTAGGTTGGAAAAAGAAAAGAAAAAAATGAACCCTTGACCTTTTTGTTGGACCAAAAATCTGTTAACCTTTTTAGTTGTTGGTGATGTCATATGATATACTGTCGAATTCCCACAGACTTGCCAGTATGCTACTAAATCACATTAGATGTGCTCCCTTTCCCTTCACACTGGACTTTTTGTGGGGATGTTGTAGGATGGTAATATACTGATACACGTTCTAAAGTTGAGCAATTTGTTTTAGTGAGCTCGGAGAATTTATTTGTTGGTGTTTGGATTTTTAAATAGCATATGAAGTTTTACAAGTTGTTTAGGGAAATGGCTTATTGACTGGTTTCAGCTTTACTAAGACGAGTAGTCTATTTTTTTGTTTCTTGCAGGCTAGATTATGATTCACCAGAAGAGGAGCTATGCTCTTGTGGCGCATCATCAAACATGTATTCAAATGACTTCTCTAAGGTTGGTTGTGCATTTTATGTGAATAGGTCATTGTTTACTGAACCGTTCTTTTACCCAACTAAAAGAAGCGAATAAGAAATATATTTTGTCTCTTTACTATTCTGTGCATTATGACTTCTTTGATCTGTCCAAAATCTTACTTTATTAACCACACAAGAGGCTAATACCTGTTGAAGAATTGCTGAAATATCTAGATTTTCTTAACTGATTTTGAGTGGTTAAAAGTTAAGCATGCTTTCCCCGTTTTCACTTTTTCTAATGTGTAATATTGGACACTGGATACTTGGCTGAGGAGGAAAATGGACAGTTTTTCTTCCTTAAACAGTCGGATGGATTCTTCTAGCTTAGAAATGATCATTCCTTTCCCTGTTGGCGTGGTTATTTTCATTTTGGATCTTGAACTCTGAGGACACCATCATCATACAATTCTCGTGATGTGATATATCTGATAATGGTGACTGATTAGGGATGATATCTTCAAGCCTTCTTTTCCTGGTGCTAGTACTAGATGATATCTACAAGTGTACTGCTTGCTTCTGCAGTTCGTCATACTCAAGATTTTCTCTATCATATTGTGTTTAGGCATGATGAGGGACTTAGTTATGCTTTTTAATTTCTGAAAGCATGAGAAACAGCAAATTTCAATTGTCATGCTGATGAAGAAAGCTGGATTTCTCCTTGTCTTGATTCTAGTCGTGTGGAAAGTTTTGATGGTTACCTTTAAAAAGACTTTGTGGTGCAGGGCTAGTTTGGGCAGCACTCTCATAGAATAATGCAGAAGTAAATAAGAGGCTGATTAGGCTTATAGGGAAAAAAAACGTGGATATTTATATACTGTCAGTGACCAAGGATGACAAGGGAGCAGTGAAGGTTTTAGGCTCAATTGATTGTATTTATGCCGATGAAGTGACTTTGGAAGTTGGCGTCTCTTGATTTTTGTAGTGGGGATTGATTGGGCTGTTGAATCAAAGTTTGTATAAGAGTCTGAATTTAGAGGGTGGAAAGAAGAGTTAGAGAAGAAGAGCAAAGGAAAAAATTAAAGACTTAAGAAATCCCATCTGGATTGGGTGGGAACAGCCCTCTAGGTAAAGTTGCAATAAAGCATTAAGTTTAGAAATCAGGTACTTAATGCTGTTTTCACCACTGAAAGGAGCTCACACCCATAGGTTTCTAGGACTTCCTAATCTTATTTGAACACGTGACATAAATTTTCAGAAGCTATAGGAACAAAGATCTTTTTGACTCTTGACTAATTCTAGAATGATTGGGACGCTCGTAAAACGTGCTTATCATTATGCAAATCAATTATAACATTATGGAGGGTAGTTTATAACTTTAGAAAAATACATTATAACTCCTAAGAATAGAGGCTACTGTTGGTACTGATGCGCCTGTAGCAGAAGGTTGTACGATTAACTTTTAATCTTGCATTTAGCAAAATTCATAAATAGTCAAACTTCATTTTTCAACTACACATTCCAATGGACGCACATGTAGTATCCACTCATTTCTATCTATTAAACCATTTATAAATTCTTTCCGTATGGTGGAGAGCTATTAAATCTTCATAGTAAGGGAAGAGAACTGGAGATGCACGTCAAGGATATATATGCAAATTTGAAAAATTTGGACTTGGCTCTCTACATAGTTATCTTCTTGCCAATTCCACCACCTCATCCACTTCAGCTCATGGGGACCTTGTGCAACTATGTGATGGTTGGCTACCTGCCAGGAGTAGGACAAAGTAGTTTAGAGATAAAGAAGGTTAAGATGGGGATTGTAGTTTAGGCTATCTTCTGAAGTGAATTCAATCTACAAATCTCAATGCGATTCATAACATTTTTATTAATCATATACTAACTCCATTATAAAATTTTGATTGCTTTCTGATTTTGTGAAAAGCATATCGAAACAATATATTGTTCATGATCCACTAATCATCATAAGAAGTTACCTTATGAATGGATATTCATAATCTAGATGATAAATATTATCCACCTTTTAGATTACATCTTGGCATTTCTACTATTCATTAATCAGAACTTTGTAATAAGAGCTTGTTTGCCTCCCATTATGGGAGAAAGAATAATGTTTTGAATAGTATTTTTTGGAGAATGTGTGGTTAAAATTGAAAGAAATTTTATTGGTTTATGTGTAGAATATTTTATTATTTGAATGTGTGGTGGAGATTGATTACTGTAGAAAACAATGTTTTGAAAAATGGTAGACAAACAGGGGCTAAGTGATTACCAAGACATCAATATTTTGAAATCTAATTCTAAATAAACGGCTTAATAACCCATTCTAATTAAACTCTTTTTTTTTATTACCATGCACATGAGTTTCACGAACACAACCATCATATTAGCTTAAGGAATTTTAGGTCTCTCCAATAGATATCACAGTGTCTATATTGATAATATATTCTCATAGCCACCAAGAACAATCATGAAGATATCGAGAGTATTAATCGATAGTGAGGTCTCATTCGTTGATATCTCAAAGAAATTGATTTTATCATGTAAGCCTATTACTCACTCAAAACTAGGGACATAACATTGTGGATAGGAGAAAATCGTTATAATCTAATTGTTAGTATTTTACAGAAGAGTGTTTCTCACTTGGCCTATTTAATATATCCCATCTCATGGAACAAACTTGAATGACGAGCCATCCCATCATATATAGGTCAATACAGTGTGTTCTCTAGTCAGTTGACCTTACTAATTCCCAACTTTTAACAAATGATCAAGTTACAAGGAAATCATTTATGTATATTCTATGTATGAGTTTATCTACGTGCACTATGGGCGAGTAGTGGTATGAACAAGGTAAACAAGTATTGAATGTATATATTGATAATGAATCTCATTCCAAGATTTCGTTTATTGCATACGAATTGCTTTGATTGCTCATTCCTAACATCTATTAGCAAATGGTTTTCGTTGTATAATAAATTAAATCACTATAATTTCATTACATGTTTTGACAATTTGCATACTATCTTTATTTTCGTTGAAGGCATATGTTGAATATTTCCTTGGTCTTTTGGGTATTTTTAAAGTTTTTATTAAAAATTAACACGTCCAAGTGTAATTGTGGGAATTAGATTTTTTCTAGTTGCGTTTACAATTTGACAATTGGGTGGGTTGTTCTATAGGGCAATTCTAGGCCATCTTTGATGGAAATTCTTTGTATGTGGAGTCTCAGGGGTATGGTAGTTGAGAGGGTTGCTGGAAAATTGTTCCTTTGGAGAGGCGGAAGATTAACACCAATCTAGTTGAATTTTTCAAGTATTTAGCGTTGGGTAATATTCTTGCTATTTTGGAGAAAGTTATGATGGACTTCTTAAGAAAGGCAAGGTCGGATGTACAAAACAAAGCATTTGTTGAAAATAATATTGAATGATATGGCAGCCCTTTCTAACTGCATAAGTTATTAGATCAAGTGGTTTTATATTGTACAAGTAAAATTAATATGTCATAGGTCTAAGTATTGCTATCAACCATTTAATGGAATTGTGTATGTGTTAGGTTTTGATAGAAAAAATGAATTTCACCTACAAACGAGGGGCGTGCCAAAGCTATATCAAATGATACACGTGACCATTTCTGAGTTCTAACATATTAAGCTTTTATATCAAGTAGTTCAACGACAATTGGTAGCTTGGGATTTGGAACTAGATTTAAAAGTTGAGAAATGTTTTAGGGGTGGGCAACCTTGGGGACAAAAACTTAGGGACTATTCTCTTTGTGTTTTGAGTTTTGAATTCATTTTGAGTTTTGTGTTTTGAATGTTCATTTTGAGATTGTTGAAAATGTGTTCTTTTGGCATTTTGAAAAATTGTTTTGAAAACACCCAAAACGCATTTTGAAAATTTTGGTTTGATTATAACTGAACACACCCAAAACGACAAATTTGTCGTTTTGAGTTTTCTTTGTAAAACTTTAATTTGTTTTCAGAAACGCGTTTTCGAAAATAGAAAAGAGAACACGTTTTCACTGTTTTGGAAAATCGAAAACAGAAAACGGCTTAAAAATGGTAATGAGAACAGACCGTTACATTTTTAAGGAAAGTTTTTGGAGATCTCTGTTTGTACAATGTTCCTTTTAGGAGGGAGCGAGCGTGTTTGTGCCAAAAAGAAATGTGAGGTACCTTTAGAAACCTTTGGAATTTTATGAATCTGAGAGATTTTCTTCTTTTTTCTAGTTCACAAAATGGGACGTGGGAGTGGGAGTGGGAGTTGCATTTTGTTTGTCGGAGGATTTTTGGATTGGTTCTTGTTCCCATGGTTCTTCATTTTCTAGTCTATGTAATCTTTGTTTGCTTAATAATGTTCCTATTGTAAGTTCATTATAAGAAACATGACCATAAATTGGAATTTTGAGTTTCAATGCAACTCTGGGGTAATGAGATTTTAGTCTCCGTTTGGCAAAATTTAGAAACCATTTATAAAATGATCAAACTTCATTTTCAAACTCACAATCCAATGGACCCACAAGTAGTATTAACTTGTCCACCTCTCATTTCTACCTATTTATAAATGAAAACTGTTTATGAATTCTTCCCAAACGGAGGATTAGATTTTTTTTCCTCATTATTTATTATCCTTGAGAATGTTTCTCTAAAAGCTTCTCAATATGTCAAAGCCTGTGGATGTTGGATACATTGGGGTCCTTTTTCTTGCAATCTTTCATGCTCTCGTTATTATTAAACTACTCTATCTTCTACCAGTTCTAGTTCCTTTTTGGAAATCTCGTGTCCCGTAGGATTAAGGTGTTTCGTAGGAAAAATTCTACTTGTGAATTGATTCAAAAGAAATGTCCTTTATTTCTCTCTTTTGCTTTTATGGCCTGAGATGTGTAAGAGGATTTGGATGTAGTGATAGATTGTTTTTACATTTTGATGCAGTAATATACTCAGTCATACTATTCTTCAAGAGTTGATTATAATTGGGTTTTCCAAGGCAGTTGTGACGTATTACTCCTTGAAAAGCACACTGGCTTTGTAGGACAAGATGAACATGGTTATATGGAAAATGCGGTCTTGGCTCTCTTTTGGGTGATTTGCATAGGGAGAACAAATATGATTTTGAATGAAGAGACCAAGAATTTTTTGAGTCATGGAAAGGAGTCAACCTTTTAACATCGTTATGAATTTATACAGATAAGGAGTTAAAGGATATTCCAATTGCTTTAATTGTTCTTAGTCAGAAAGATTTGATTTGTTCTTGGCTTTCTTTTTGTTTTTATTAGAGGATTCAATATCCTCTTGATGATTGTAATTGCATTTCTATGAGTGAGTTTGAGACATTTTCTTTTGACTAAGAAGGGAGAAATTCTGTTGCTTTATTTGGGATTGCATTACCATGTTGATCTTATCAAGGTGATGCAGCATGGCAGTTGTTGAATTCATTGAATTTCTGCCCCAAGGCAGGATTAATATTCCTGTAGTGGCGTGTTGTATAGAAGAACTAGGAATAATGGTATTTGGGTAAGAATTCTTCTCTATTTGTTTTGGAGCTTTTGGAATGAAAGGAACTTTTGAGCTTTCAAAGGGGGTGGATACAACTCTAGCTAAGTTGAAAACATAACTTTTTTGGTCTACTTTTATTGGAAGAGAAGCATATCCAACTTCTGTTATATCTTTTGCGGATTATTTGGATTAATTGTCTTTGATGACATGGAGGTGATGGCTAGTCTAAATTATTCGTGTATTCTCGAGTTGCGTTCTTTGCAATAATACAGAAAATCTCTCCTACTCGTGTGCCCTCCATCCCAGTAATAAAAAGAAAAACAATACTTCTGTTCGCTGCAGCAGATTTTTCTTGTGGCCTCCTTAGTTGCCTGTTGGATGTGCTAGTCAAATAATTTGAGTTATTGTAATGAAAATTATTGCGCCGTCCTGAGCTTACTAACTATCTAGGATATGAGTGGAACAGAGCCAGGTGAGATCAGCCACTCCCTGATGTTCAAACTGTAGCTTACTTGCATCCTGTTTAAGAATTTGGCTTATTTGATTTAATTGGACAGATTGAACCCTTTTTCTTAACTTTGTCCCAGTTTCATTGCTTTCTGTATTTGTTTTTAGCATGTATCTTTTGCCTATTCTTCTTGTTTTATATCTGTGACTGGGGTCCTGAACTCAAATTTTGTTATAGAGATCATTTTCCATTGAAGTCCTTGATTGTGAGCATCTGTAGTAAATTGAAACTCAAAACTTGCTATGATTATTTGTGTAATAGGGAGGTGCTATTCCTAACTGTTTTAATGCTGTTTTGGTAATGCCTGTGCATTAGGATAGAGGGGATCAGGAAGCTGCTATTTACTCTGAATCTTCTGGAAGATGCAGCAGTGGTGAGCATCTGAACGAGATACATTCAGATCGTCAAATGGGTGGTCCCGAGAATGTGTGTGTCATCTGCAATCAAGGTGGAGAGCTCCTGTGAGTAATCCTTTGTGTTTGTACTCTTTAAGTTCCACGATGATCAATAATTTTATGTATAGTTTAATCAGTTCTAATTATGGAATTGTATTTGCATCTTCAGTAATTTGTTTATGGGCTGTTCAACAGATGCAAAGAAATGATTATTACTTTTTGATAGTAATTGAGCCCCATTTGTTCGGGAGCTTTCTCTCTGTCTCAACATGCACACGCTTAAAAGTCGTGACAATGACAGTTTGGAATTTTTCTGTCCCTTGTTTCCCCTGGTCTTTGTGATGATATATGTGTCATTCACATTTCAGGTGCTGTATTGGAAAGGGATGCAAGAGATGCTACCATCTGTTGTGTCTGGATCCTCCTTTAAGTGATGTTCCACCGGGAGTTTGGCACTGTTTATGGTGTGTGAAGAAGAAGGTTGAATTAGGTGCCCATTCAGTGTCACAAGGTGTTGAATCAATCTGGAATGCAAGAGAAGTGGAGGTACCGAATGCTGAAGGTCTGACATGTAAATTGCTATATTTATATTCAGTTTAATCTAAATAAGAAGAAACTAACATGAATTTCCTCCACTTTGAATTGACTGTTGGAGTTTTACACAAAAGGTGAGGGGAAACATTTAGGTTTTTCTCTACTTCTCCTTTGAGAAGTGTTCCCATTGGTTCCTTCCTTTCGCTCTCTCTAAATTCTACCTTCCAATAACCAATTTCCAAAAGAAACTGAAAAGAAAAGAGTAATGATGCGATGCCGTCACCAAGCATAGGTCCACTACCATTACGATTGCCAGCATCTGCTGTCAAAACATAAAACCATAGTGAAACCAACTAAGATTATTTCATCTGAGAGTAAAAAGGAAAATTAATCTCCATTATCCAACTATTGCAACCACAATGCCCTGCATCCTGAAGATTTCTTGGGAAGAATTAATATTCCTGCACCACTAACAAACCTCCTTAACACCACCATCACCTCCATTGGGACCACAACCATCAAAGTAGAACCACCATTATCTTTCACACACAACTTGAACCATATTCAAAAAAGTAATGGTAGAAAAAGACTTCCAGCTACCATTGCTACCCCTAGAACACAGGCATCAGCAAAGCCTCCAAACTCCCCAGTATTACAGCCTCTATTTTAAGCCAACAGATTAACTTAGGGAAGAAAATTACCAGCCACATCCATTAAATTCCTAAACCTGAAACTCAGGCACCTGTAGTACAAAATACATTTAGCTGATCTCAAGTTCACGATTTCATGAAGAAACAAAAAATAAATGGACCGTTGAAGGATTATGGTTGAAAGATTGATTCAGTGGTGGTGATTGTGTACTCTGAGGTTGTTATGGTACTATAACAGAGATAGTCTGGTATGGTGTCTGAGTTTCAAATGACTATGTTGGTCCCCCCCCCCCCCCCCCCCCCCCCC